ACCACAACGATGATCCCGACCCCCGACGCACCCAAACATATAAAGAGTGAACACATCAAACACGTCAACAACAAGAAGAGTACTAAACCCAAGCAGAACAAGAAGTTATGATCGCATGGATATCAACTCGGAGTCGAGGATTACCTCTGATTTCCAAACCATACTTATGGGCAGCTATTGAATCCAGTCGTTTCATTCAAACACTTATGATTACCATTTTTAAATGCAGTTTTATATTTAATTTTCTAAAAATATTTTTCATTTTTCATAATATCCAGTAAATATTATGACTATTTTTGCAATATTCTACTTAATAAAATGTATTTAACTTTTTAGTACTTTTGTGCGCGGAATGAACAAAGTTTTTAGTTTAAGTGTTCAATATTTATTGATAGTATCAGTGAAAATGCTTTATTTAAAAATTAAAGTTTATAACTCAAATTAATATTTGATAACTCTCACTCACACTAATGTATATTTGTGAGCCAAACAGTTGAGGGATATTAAAAACGTGTAGGAGTTTGGCTCCAAGGAGTCCAGCTTTGAGGAGTCACTTATTATTGATTTTTACAACTTTTACACATAATTCGTGTAATTCATTGTATATACAGTAGAATACAGAATATATACAGAATATATACAGAATATATAGAATATGTTATCTTGCCATTATAACACTGTTATATTATTCATCTCTAACAACAACTATGACAAAAACTTGCAACGCATTCAATATATTATTGACATTGGTCAAACATATATTAATATTACACAATTGCCAACTTTGTTTTAAGTAATGGTTTTACAAATGGTTGTCCAGCTTTTATAGTCATCCAAATGTCAACAATTCTAAACTACTGGTAACTGTAATATTCATCAAATTCTATAATAGATTGTACTTAAAATATAGTACTGTAATCACTGTAAATAAATAATATATTATTTATGTTTTTAATGAACAAATACAGAATTTAAGAATATTCTGTAAAATGGAGAGAAAATCGTTACTAATTGTGACAATAATAGTGTTGAGTATAACGATTCTATTAGTAATTCGAGCGTACTTAAATATACCTGGTATAATACCACCGGAAAAGGATTGGCTACAAACGGCATCCACAACATTAAACATAATACTTGTGGTCATCATAAGTGTGTTTCTCATCTTTGGTTCAATGGTTTACTACTATTATATAATACGCATCGAAAATGCCAACAAACAATGTTTTGCCACTTTATGTGCATTCTTCACAGCCTTGTTGTGTTTAATTGCATTCAACACAGTCGGTGTACATGTAATTGAACCTCTAACTGATCCGAGTCATGGCAAATTTGTGCTGACATTAATAAACTGTTTTAAACTATTAGCCCAATTGATATCAATAATGTCTGTAATTATAATGGGTGTCAGTGTAGGTATGAGTTGCTTCTGGTGCTTCCGACTAAGGTTTAGGAGTGCACTCCGAAGGACACCCGATGTTTAGATTATGGGTACCACTACTTTTGATAACACATACATTTATTGTGGCTAGTCAATTATGTGTCACAAAACATTGTCATACCAGACCTTACATTTATGTATTTATAATTTTGCTACAAATTATACTAACACCAATTTCATTTAAATATAATTTTCAGTAAGTTATTACTTATGATATGAACCTAGATAATTCATACAAATTCTGATGATTCTTACATACAGTATAATGTATAGAATATATGTAATGCATGGAAGTTGCTAACAAGTTATATAGTATAGACTTCATTTGTATTGATTACCCTTCCGTTTGCAGTGAAATAGTGTATTCAGTATTGTTGCCCACAAACTACTGAATCCTTAAATGCGCACTCAATGTATGCTTAGTTTACTATGTATTGAATCTCTCGTTTCAATCAAACATTATCTCAGAGTATAATTAAGGTATAATACATAATAAATTGTGATTAAAATACAGTAATATAAATAATTTCCGATCAAATGCTATTAAATAGTTGATTGAGTTAAAGAAAATTCTGTAAAATGGGGAGAAAACTCATAATAATAGCGTCAGTAATAGTAATGAGTTTAACGGCTCTAATGCTGGTGTCTTCGTATCTCAATATACCCGGTGTTATACCACCGGAAAAGGATTGGTTACAAACGGTGTCCAAGACATTAAACATAATACTTGTGGTCATCTTACTCGTGAGTCTCATCATTGGTTCAATGGTGTACTACTATTACATAATACACATCGAAGATCTCAACCGACAATGTTATGTCAATTTGTGTGTATTCTTCTCATCCCTGTTCTGTATAATTGTGTTCATAATATGTGTCAATCAGATTGCCATCCGAACTGATCCGAGCGATAATAAGTTTGTGCTGACATTAATAAACTTTTGTCAACTTTTAGGAGTACTCATAGTACTGGTGTCCGGGATTCTTATGATTACCATATTTATAATGTGTAGCTTCTGGTGCCTTCATGTCAAGGCCAGGAATGCCCTCCGGAGGGCACCCGCTATTTAAATGACCAGTTCTTTGCGAAATACTCAATACGCAAGTTGTGATCCAATGGACATCAACTATAAACCATAAAATGAATCAAAGCTTAATCAAGGTCATCTTTAATTGCCAATCATTCTCATGGGATCTATTGATTCCAGTTGTGCCACAAATACTTAATGATAATTATTTTTAAATACATTTTATGCTTAATTCTATTAGTTATAAACACATTTATATGTTTTGCTGTGTTTATATAATATTTAATCAAAATATATTTAACTTTTCAGTACTTTTGTCACTTGAATAAACAAAAAACTGTTTATTACGTTCATAAATTTGTTCAATTCATAATTGTTTATCAAAAATTTCATACAAATTGATTAAAAGTACATGACTTCTAAATAAAACAAAATCTATTTTGAGTACAAAAATTATTAAAGCATATGAGATGTAGTCTACACTCATGGCTGCATACGAATAGCGCCGTCCAATCGGATGGTCTCCCCGTTAAGCATTTGGTTCTCGATAATAGTCTGAACCAAATGCGCGTATTCTTCGGGTTCGCCCAACCGTTGAGGACAGGGAACAGTTGCGGCCAAGTTTTGGCGCACTTTCTCTGGCAATGAGGCCAACAGTGGAGTGTTGAAGAGTCCCGGGGCTATAGTCACACAACGGATGCCCTCCACAGCTAAGTCGCGAGCGATCGGAAGAGTCATACCGACGATACCGCCCTTAGAGGCCGCGTACGCTACCTGTCCTGCAATGCAATGACACAACCATTTGGTGGCACAATGAGACATACCATTCATGCACTCAAATACCTATCTGTCCCTCAAAGGCGGCCACAGAAGCCGTGTTTATGAGGACTCCCTTCAAGTCGTTGACCTTCGGGTTCTTGGAGATGAGTGCGACGGCCAGTCGGTTCACATTGAAAGTGCCCAAAGTGTTCACCTCTAACACCATCTTAAACTCGTCCAAAGGATGCGCCACTTTCTTCCGGAAGTCGTATGTCTTGCGCGCGATTCCGATGCCTTTGGGACGCAATTGCGGTGATAATTATGAGACACAAGTGAGTGGTTAGCGATGCCATACCGGCGCAGTTCACCACCGCATCCAAGCGCCCGAACTCCTTCTCGCACGCGTCCAACGCCTTCAACACATCGTCTTCGGAGGTAACGCTTCCCTCGACTGACACCACATTCTTGGCCTCGAATTTGGTCTCAATGTTCCGGTCGAAGGCCACCACACCTTTGGCTCCCAATCGGATCAGTCTATCGACCGTCGCTTTGCCTAAACCTAAACACCATTTTCAGACAATCAATAATCAATATAGGGATCAAATGAAGACATGATGTTCGCCACAGACCTGATGAGCCGCCGGTCACGAAAGCCACCAAACCTTTGATACTATTAAATGTAGCCATAGTTGTGGTGATAGTTGTCAGACAGACAGTCGAGGAATTGAGTTGAGATCCAAGTGTTGAGTGTTTTTGTGGACTTTTATCGCGATCTGAGTGTCACTTACTGTCTGTCTGTCTGTCTGTCAATGAGATGTCTCAACACATGTGGGATTACGTAAGCCAAACACACTTACACTGGTATACCATATATACAGTCGACACCACCATATATTCACTATTAGTTTTACACATTGTGTTAAATGCAATACATTTGTACTATTTATCACATTTTATAAATCAAAAATGATTATGATTTGATTCAGTTGTGGATTACATAATTGTAGTCTAAATATATGAACTCATTATCAGTATTGAGTGCATTGACTATACTGTACGTTAAGTTTGTTTACATCAAAACATGTAGTGTTAGGACACCTGCCGTCAAACAGTTTATATTATGAATACAGTACTCGTATAACACATGGACTTACCACCAGATGTCCACTCAATGCATGGCTCACAACACATTGAATGAGCGATACGATTGGATCTGTTTTTGAAAACTGTGTCCAAAGATGTCACGAGAAAGTGATCAAAAGTTTTTAATTAATGTTTTTAATTAATTGTATTTCATTTATAATTACAATGTTTTATACCATTGAGTGGTATGTCATATGAACCGGTGATGACATGTATGGCTAATATCTGTTGCAAATACGTCAATGTGTTGGCCATTCAACTCATATATGTGTCCATCTCTTCACTCATTGTCTTCATATCCCTAATCGGAGACCAATTGCTAACCATTAAGAGGAATGCCATCAACGCCTATATCATCGCATTAAGCGATACGTTAATCCATGGCTTCATTGGGTTCTTTAGTTGGCTCTTAGTCTACATATCGAAAGGACATCCCGTCTGCGAACACATCGTCCTCATGGAGTCCTTCATCTGTGGTCTCACGGCTTCTGCCATTGATTTGGACCACGTGTTGGCCGCAAGAAGTTTTGATCTCAATGTCTGACTACTAATCCATGTAATCCATGAGCTAATTGTGTGGTTTCTCTCATTCCTCAGGATATCTCTCACTTACCTAACCGTCCATTCCTTCACAACACATCCCTAACTCTACTGATATCGGTGTCCATCTTAGCGACGGGTCTGATCCGTCACAACTGGATGGTCCACACCTACGGCTGGATATTCCTCACCGCAAGCCTTACCCATCACTTGCGGGACGCTCTCAGACACGGCTTCTGGTTGTATCCGTTCACCACAAAACCAGTCCCTCTCTGGGCGTACGTACTGTCGCTCACAGCGTATCCACTCGTCTGCAGTCTTCTCATGGATATTGTGGCCAAAGAGTGGTTAGAAAGACATTCAATGAGTAATCACTTGAACTTCAAATACAAGAGCGTCTCTGGCGATGTCCAAGAAGTTTAGGACCTATTTATGTGATGTTTAACTTAATTGAAGTCATTATTGAAAAATATTTGAATTATTATTTAATTTATATTAAATATAATTATTGTATAGTTTATGACATTATATGAGAATAAATTGTGTCAATATTCTAATGGTATGGATGTGTATGAATTGATTGACATATTTGTCGGTTAATTATGTTTGCATTATATTTGTAACCAATTATTCAATTGTCTGCAAATGAGACTCAAATATAAAGTCAATTCAATTAACAGTGAATTTATTCATAACTCCCTTCCCTCCCATCCCCTCCTATGTCTGTCCATTGCACACAACTATTTGAGTGAAAGCTTTAAAGCTTATGAATTTGGTGTCAAAAACTATAGGCGCCAGTAATGCCCGGTATATTCCGCCAGTAGACGAGTTGGAGCTATTGATGGATACTTTGATCATAAGAGCTATTGGTTGGACACCAACGCATGGATTCTTCTCAAAGAACTCATCGAATCCATTGTGGATCCAAATGTGGAGCAAAGACTCAGAATTCTGTTCGCAAACTATTATCACAAGGAATTGGCATCAAATCCATTGCAGAGTTCCGGATATCATTCATATTCGGGATTTGGACGACAATGCCATCCAAACACTCAATCATTGCTTACTTTTATGAAAAGCCGCACAAATGCTATGAATATGACCACAAATGCTATGAATATGACCACAAATGCTATGAATATGACCACAAATGCTATGAATATGACCACAAATG